AGGGCACAAGTTAAGAGACCCATTTATATTAAATTTGTATTAAAAAAACAATTTAAAATTTAATTTTATACTTTAATTAAAGTTTGTATACAATTTTCAAGATAATATTTCTTAATTTAGTTTTTAACTTGTGTCCTTAGGGCATAAGTTAGCATTATCCTTTTTTAAAATATGTTTGAAACAAATTCTATAATTTCATTACACATAAATTAAAATAAATTTTATATATATATATATATATATATATATATATATATATATATATATATATATATATATATATATATATATATATATATATATATATATATATATATATATATATATATATATATATATATATATATATATATATATATATAAAATTTAATTTTAATTAAAAATTATTTTAAAATATTGTTAACTAATTTTGCCTACCTCAAAATGTGTTGGGCCGGTCTTAGTAACCAAATATTATGTTTTGTAGTTCTTTTACTCAATTATTTATGGAATGACTTGGTAGATATTTATTTGATTCAATTGTTTAAATTATGCTATTATGCAATAGGTAGGCAATCGACAATGTTTTTTATTCAATAGCAAATTGTGAAACAATTGAGTACAGGTTCCATAAGATTGATTATAATAGTACAACCTTGTGATATAATAATTGAGACAATATAATATTGTTCCTTGTTAGAATTGAGAATGTTGAAAACAAAATTAATTAGAAATGTTATATTAGTTAAATTCATGATTGATTCATGGTTTTTTTACAAGAGAAATTTGATTTCCATGTAAGAAATTTTATAAATAATTGTGTGTGATTATTATCAAAGTGAGACTATCCATTTTATTTTATAAAAGTCTTTTTTGTAGTTTGAGGAATAATTTTAAGTTATTACTATGATTGTCTTTTCAAAGGGGAACAATTGTATGCATAGATTGTAGTTGATTAAAGATATAGTTATTGTAAATGCTTGAGTTCAATGAATTTATCTATCTAAAGGAGATAAATTTCTAAATTCAATATATGCTCACTCAATAGCTTATTCTTGAAATTTGTAGATAAAGTTGTTGGATGTGTTTTGGTTTAGAGAATTTATCCACCAAAAGGAGTTAGATTTTCAAATCCAATGTACGCTCATTGAGTAACTCATTTGAGGTTCTAACCTTGGTTGTAACTTGGATTTTTGCGCATTCCACCCAAAGGGGATTGCGTGATAATGTTGGTCTTTTCGTGATAGCTTATGTTCATTAAAGCTATATATTACCTTTATTATTTATTCTAATGCATTCCTGTTTTGTTCCAATAATGACCTTCTTTATGAACAATCGTTCTGCTTCTATTGAGATTCTGAATGAGTCTAATTTTAAGAAATGGAAGAAAGACTTAGAGTTTTCATTGAGATTGCTGATCTTGACATGACATTGTATGAAACCAAATCTGTGATCAATGATTAGAGTACACTTGAAGAGAAAGGAAAATTAGCTAAGTGGGAGAGGAGTGACCGACTTAGCTTGTGTGATATGAAGATGACCATTTTCGAACATCTGATAAGTGGATTACTTGAGAAATAGAATGCTAAAGAATATCTTTTTGCTATTGGAGAGAGGTTTCAGGTATCTGATAATGCTGAATCCGGATATTTAATGAAACAACTCACGAACATGAAATATGATAACAATGGGAGTGTTAGGGAGTTCATTCTTAAGATGGTTCATATCCAAACCAAACTAAAATCCCATGACATTGACCTGAATGAGAATTTCATTGTGTCCCATGCCTTAAACTGCCTACATGATGAGTTCGCTCAAATCAAAACTACTTATAACACCTTTGGTGATAAATGGATTGCCAATAACCTCATTACTAAATGTGTAGCTGAAGAAGAGAAACTCAAGAAGGAAAGAAATGATATAGCCATCCTGACTTTTCATGTTAAACCCCATTCTGGTAAGAATTCTTGGAAAAATAAGAAAAATACTCATAGTGTTTCTCATAGATATCCTAAATTTAGGAAACCAAGTAATGGTCAACACCATAATATATGAGGTCTTAAGCTTGTTGGTGTAAGGAAAAAGGGCATAAGAAAACTGTTTTTCATGCTTTTAAAGCTTGATTAGGAAACAATAACAAATCTGGAAAGGTTCAGAAACCAACGGAGACCAAACTTGAGGGAAAACAAACTCAGGGTAGGAGATATTCTTGAAGTAATTGTGGAGCTAGTGGGAGATATCAACTTGGTTCTAGGAAGTGGTTTTGAACTTGTTTTGAAAGATACATTGTATGTACCTTCTTTTAGGAGGAATTTAATTTCAGTATCTTCTTTGGATAGACTTGGATTTCTGTTTACTATTTATGATGGCAAAATAAATTTGATGTTGAATTCTCAAGTTGTTGGTAATGGTATCTTGTTAGATGGTTTATATAAGTTGTTTTTGGATTGTGATAATATTTACTCATCCTTGGATTATGAGAAGCATTAGTTCATAGTAAATATGTTCTAGAAAACATCTTTTGAGCTTTGGACAGGTAGAAAATCCAGTTTGAACCATCTCTGTGTCTGGGGTTGCCCCACAGAGGTTAAAATGCATATTCCCTTTGAAACAAAGCCTGACAAAAAAAAACGAGTCGTTATTTTTTATTGGATATCCAGATCGAGCTAAAGGATACAAGTTCTTCTGTCCGGGTAGAGGTGATAAAATTGTGAAGTCCATGCATGCAAAACTTCTTGAGTTCGATGTTACTGAGACTGTCATTACATATGATACTATTTTTTCTATTATACTTGACGTTGCTACTTTGCCACTGCCTAATTTTGATAATGCTAGCTCGTCCACTACTCATGGAGGTTTAACTAAAAATGAGAATATGGCTGAACATCTAGTTGAAAATGTGGTTGAACCACTTATTGATAATGTAGTTGATCTTCCTATTACAATTGAGGTTGCACAATCTGATGAGCTAGTTGAGCAAATTCATCTTAGAAGGTCAGTAAGACAAAAGCAACCTGCTATCCCAGATGATTTTGTAGTTTATCTTAGTGAGGATGCTTATGATGTTGGTATTGTTATTGATCCTATAAATTATCTAGAAGTTATCACTTGTTCTCAATCTAGCATGTGGACATATGCAATGCATGATGATATAAAATTCATGGCAACTAATTGAGAACTAATGGAGTTACCAAGAAGCTGTAAGGCGATTGACTACAAGTGAATATTCAAAACAAAGAAGAACTCAAAAGGTAAAATTAAGAGGTTTAAGGCAAGACTTATAGCTAAAGGTTTCACACAAAAGGAGGGGATTGATTTGAATGAAACTTTTTCTCCTGTTTCCACTAAAGACTCTTTTAGAATCGTTATGATCCTTCTAGCATATTTTGACTTGAAATTGCATCAGATGGATGCTAAGACTGCTTTTCTGAATGGTGACCTTAATAAGGAGGTGTACATGTATCAGGCTGAGAGTTTTGTGACAAGTGGCAATGAGCATTTGGTTTGTAAATTAAGAAAATCTATTTATGGTTTTAAACTGTCTTTGAGACAATGGTACTTGAAATTTGATGAGGTGGTGACTTCATTGGATTTTGAAAAAAATAAAGTTGATCAGTGCATCTATCTTAAGATCAGTGGGAGCAAATTCATCTTTTTTGTACTATATGTTGATGATATTTTGCTTGCTAGTAGTGATTTTGGTCTACTTCATAATACCAAACTTATGCTAACCAAATTCTTTGATATGATAGATCTTGGTGAAACATCCTTTGTGTTGAGAATTGAAATACACAGAGATAAATCACGAGGTGTACTTGACTTATTACAAAGAGCTTATATCGATAGAGTCTTAGAGATGTTTAATATGCAGAACTGTAAGCCGACTTTTTTCTAAAATGAAAATAAAGCCGAATTTTTTCAAAATAAAAAAAATTGATTTTTTTTGAAAATACAAACAAAATGATATTTTCTAAAAATAAAAGTAGTTGATTTTTTTTTAAAATAAAAAATAATGATTATTTTCAAAAATAAAAGAAAACATTTTTTTTCAAAAATAAAAAAGCCAATTTTTTACGAAAAAAAATTATTTTTTTCGAAAATAAAAAGCCAATTATTTTTTTGCGAAGAATAAAAAAGGTTGTTTTTTTTAAAATAAAAATTAGTCAATTTTTTCCCAAAACAAAAATTAAGTTGATTTTTTAAAAATAAAAAAAAATTAATTTTTTTCAAAAATAAAAAATTAATTTTTTTCTGAAAAATAAAATCGATTGATTTGAAAAAAAAATCAATTGTTTCCAAAAATAAAAAGTATATTTCTTTTGAAAAAAAACTATTATTTTTGAATAAAAAATTATTTTTTCCAAAAATTAAAAAATTTAAATTTTTTGAAAAAATTGTTAAGTTTTTTCTAAAAAAAAATAAACTTTTTTTTTGAAAATATTGGAGCCTCTAGTCTACTTGAATTTTAAGAGCGTTTGATTTAAGAATTTACATATTTTGGTTCTTTAAAATTTTGATCCACTAAATTTTTTGGGTCTTAAATGTTAAGTCAGAGCCCCTTAGATTGAGAGCTCAATCAATAATTTGAACTTGAAGGTAAATAAACTTGTGAATTTCTTCTACCTCTGTAGGACTGAACAATCACCAGCGTGGACCCAATACTACATAGACTAAAAACAAAAATGTCTCTAATTCCTTGCATGCGTCTTAATATTACTGAAAAACCTTAACTTTAAAAGTACATAATAATTTTGCTGACACAAAAATAATATATAAAAAATAGACTCAGAATACTTACTATATATAATGATGCAAAATTTGACCGAAATACCTATATCAAACATAAATAATAGATGAAGTCCACTTTCAACAATGGTAGGTACTAATTTATTCGGTAAGAGTTGTTTTCTAGTTTAGCCGTCATTCAAAAAAAAATCTATATATGTCTTGTTCCATGGCCTCTTATTCAACAACAATCAAAAGATTGAGAAAAGTGAGGCATAAAGCTAAAAGAAATAAGAATGGAAGTAGCACAAGGAATGCACATGAAAGGAGGTGATGGAGAAGAAAGTTATGCAAACAACTCAATTATTTTTCAGGTATGTATCGTTTTTATTTTTTATCAGTATCATAACATCTGTATTAACCAAAGTCGCGATGCGACTGTGAACTTTATGTTTGACTAATATTTTAAATTTTATTGTATTATAGGGAAATGTGATTTCTTCTACAAAGCTCATAAGGGAGGAAGCCATAACTAGCTTATACTCCAGCACACTCCCCGGAAGCCTTGCAATTGCAGATTTAGGTTGTTCTTGTGGACCAAACACTTTGTCTGTGGTATCAGAAGTTATCCATGTTGTGGAGAACCTTAGCAAAAAGTTGAATCATTCATCTCCCGAATACAAAGTATATTTGAACGATCTTGCAGGAAATGACTTCAACAGCGTCTTTAGATCACTCGATAACTTCAAAGAGAAGCTACGAGATGAAACAAAAACTAAAATAGATCGCTGCTATTTCTTTGGAGTCCCTGGTTCTTTCTATGGAAGACTTTTTCCTGACCGGAGTTTGCATTTCGTCCATTCTTCTTACAGCGTTCATTGGCTGTCTAAGGTTCCTGAAGGAATAGAAAATAGTAAGGGTGCCATTTACATCAACGAAACGAGTCCTTTGAATGTTACTAAAGCTTACTATAAGCAATTTGAAAGAGACTTCTCAGTTTTCATCAAGTGTCGCGCAGAGGAAATAGTTGAAGGAGGTCGCATGGTGTTATCGATTTTAGGAAGAAGAGGTGATGATCCATTCAGTAAGGAAAGTTGTGACCTATTGAATCTTTTGGCCACTGCTCTTAATCACATGGTCTTAAAGGTACATAAATATGTCACATTCAGTTTTTAGTTTAACCAGAGATTCTAAATTCGAATCCCGCTGATCTAGACATGAATATTAATTGTTTTGTTGAATGTTATATAGGGACTTATTGACGAAGATAAAGTGAATACTTTCAATATCCCAAATTATTATCCATCTCGAAATGAAGTGAAGTTGAGTATTCTCGAGGAAGGATCATTTGCGATCAATCATGTGGAGTTCTCAGAAGTAGATTTAAATAATTCTGGTGAATCATTACATGACAGTGGATATAATGTTGCGCAAGCTATAAGGGCTGTGTTTGAACCTTTGCTAGTTAGTCACTTTGGTGAAGCTATCATCGACGATGTTTTTCAGCGATATCACGAAATCGTGGTAGATCAAATGTCCAGGGAGAAAATGCAGACTGTTTACTTCACCATATCATTGACAAGGAAAGCACAATAAGGAGGAAATTTGTTTTGTATTGTGGGTTTCAAAACAACAGAACAATTTAAGATTGATATGTTGGTTTGTTTGCTTTGTTTTTTCTTAGTAATTGTATTCTATGAATTGTTATGTAAGCCAAGAATAAGAATTACGTGAAGATTATCAGTTGTTGTACTTTGATAATGAGTAATAATGTTATTTATATTTGGAATTATGCTCTTTGTTTTTAGTAATTATAATTCATCTACGGGTGAAACATAAAATTTATTTTGAAATTGTATTTTTAAGTGTCATACCTATAGTCGAAATTATGTATGTTTGTATAGGTGGATAAACATTTAACTTGAAAATAAACTAATCCAATAAGTTATCGATGATTTACTCGTATTTATTTGTGACAGGTTTTTACTCTCTTTTTTGTGAGTATGAAAACCAAAGAAATGTGTGGGTCTTTTTTTTTTTTTTTATAATTTTTTTTATATTAAATAAATACCCAAATTAACCCACTTTTCCACCTATTTCTCAAACTAACCCATTTTCATAAAAAATAAAAATTCAATAAAGAGTAGTCGTCAATCCAATTGCAATAGTATACAAACACATTAGAATAATCACCAATACAATTGGCAATAGTATACAAACACATTAGAATAGTCACCAATTCAATTGGCGACTATGTACATTTTCTCTCCTATGTGTTTGTACACTGTCGCCAATTGGATTGGCGACTACTCTTATATGTTTGTACGCTGTCGCCAATTAGATTGACGACTCCTATTTGTTGAATTTTTTTTAAAAAAGTGAGTTAGTTTGAGAAATAAGTGAAAAAATGGGTTAGTTTGGAAAATGAGTGAAAAGTGATTTAATTTAGGTATTTATTTGAAAAAGTTGGTTATTTGAGTAAAATTTTTGCTACACGGTGACTACAATGTTATTTTGTCTTGATCATCATGTCATCTATATATAGAAATACTTGCATGAAAACAAACTTAAATTTATATCATTAGAAATATCCAATAAAATTTTAAATTTAATTTCTTTTTTAATTGAATTGAAAGGGTGATTATGATAACATGAGAGAGAAAAATTATTTTGGATTTTTAATTAATAAGAAAATGTGATTGGTGTTTGTAAAGTCACGTCTTATGTTCGTTTTCATGCAATTATTTTTCATCTATATAAATTTTTATTTTTCTTTGTATATGCTTTCTGAAGAACATGTTTATCAGATGTTGTTATGATGTGACACTAATTTTCAAATCGAAGGTTACGATCTTATAACGATAATTGTAAGTGTTTGTCATTAACGTTGTGAACTGAGCGTCTACTAGATCCGCAATTATCTAGTTGTATTTATAATATGTGTTCATAAAACTCATCATCTGGTATCTGGAGCGATTCATGTATCAATCTATCTATGTTGGAAAAAGGATATGGGTCCTTAGGGCATCCCTCGTTGAGGTCGGAGAAGTTGACGCACATCTATCACTTCCTTCTTGCGTTTTTTTACCACTACTACATTAGCTAAATATGATGGTATTTTATCTCGTTGATGAAATTAATGTGCTAATCGATCCCATTTAGTGAGATAAAATTTGGTTGTTGTTGATGAAGTTAATGTGCCTTAGATGAAGAACTTTTTCTTCCATTTCATTTCTTTACTCTTCATTCGTTCTTTATTTTCTCTTAGATACTAGCTTAATGGTTGTCACATTGGCCAACTTGTGGCTTCTAGGAGTTTCTACATTCTTCCTTAACAAGGTAAAGATGTTCCTTTCTTCTCCCTCATTTAGCGCGGTGCCCCTAGGTTCATGACTTGATGGGGTTCTTCTCCTATCTGAATTTCTTTTATATCTTTGATGGAAAATCTGACCTCTCCAAAGTCTTCATGTGGATCTAAGACTGCCACATATGACACAACTATTCAGTGGGGGCACTAGAAATGTACAGTAAGAAGGTGAAATGAAGCCTTGGTGCGGTGGAGCAAGCTTCTCATACGACAGAGAGAGGGTAGACATGCAAGGTTAACACTCCAACGTCCAAGTCAGTCACTGAGTCAAAATAGTATGAGAGTGAATTATAACGTATGATTCCTTATAGGTGAGGAGAAGCTAGAAATCCCTTCACTTTTCAGCATGGTATGCAGGGGGCGTTGAATGATATCTAATGACAAATCATCGTCAATGGTGTGGGTCAAGTACGAGTCATAAGGTAGAGAGTGCATTGAGCCTCCAATACATTATTTCAATTCTTGGGCCTTTGCTCGACACCAAATAGAATGAAAATTAAATCGTTTTTATTTTCGTTTCAATTTAAGTTTTTATAGATTTTAAATGAAATTACAGATAAAGAATGAGAAAAAGAAAAAAGATGAAAAAAATCCTATGTATTATTAGTAATAATTCATATTTTATTATATTACTTTCTTAAGCTCATAAGTTTGTTAGAGGGTATTTTAGTATTTATCTTATTCTAGTAACCCTAGTTTTAGCTTATAAATAGGGTGACAATCATTGTAACTCTTAATCCTGTTTCTTCTGCCGTCATTCTTAATAGAATATTTCTACCTTTCATCATTTATTCTACCTTTGCACCAACAATTGGTATCTAGAGCTCCGGTTCAGATTCATTAGGAAACACGGGAAACACGAGTGAACGTGAGGTCTTGTGTGTTTGATTTTGATTCTTAGATTCGTGTTGAATCTTGAACAAAATCTGATCAGAATTTTATTCTGTGGGTTGGGAAACACTGTGTGAGAAATCTGAGTGTATTGTGCAAGGTAGAAGATGAACGGAAACGGCAACATGAACACCAAACTTCCAGTATTTGATGGTAAAAACTGGAATCGTTGGATGATCCAAATGCGTGTACTATTTGGTGCTCAAGATGTTCTAGATCTTGTCACTGATGGTTATGTTCCAGTAGCAGCAGATGCAACTGATGAACAGAAAAACGCGCAAAAGGAAGTAAGGAAGAAGGATCAGAAAGCATTGTTCTTCATTCATCAATGTGTGGATGTAAACGTGTTTGAGAAGATTGCAGACTCTACAACAGCAAAGGCTGCATGGGACACTCTGGTGAGATATTATGGTGGTGACGAATCAGTGAAGAAGGTGAAGCTTCAGTCCTTGAGAAAGCAATATGAGAATCTCAACATGAAGAATAATGAGAAAGTTTCTGAATACATCTCCAGAGTGATTCTGATCACTAATGAGATGAAGGCATGTGGAGAAACTCTTTCTGAAGAAACAATCATGGAGAAAGTGTTGAGATCCCTTACTCCTCAATTTGATTACATTGTGGTAGCAATAGAACATTCCAAAGATCTGAGCACAATGAGAATTGAAGAGCTGCAGAGCAGTTTAGAAGCGCAAGAGTTGCGTTTGACTGAGAGAACCTCTGAAAGGGAAGTAGAGAAGCAGGCTCTGAAAGCAACTTCTGATAGGAGGTATCAGAAGCAGTCAGAAGCCAAGAGAAGATCTGATGGTGGTCAGAAGTCAGAAACCTCAACCTCTGATAGACAAAAGAATGCTCAGAAGGGAAAAGAGAAGTATGACAAGAAGAAGATCCAATGTTACTGTTGTAAGAAGTTTGGTCACTTTGCTAGAGATTGTTGGTCAAACAAGGAGAAGAAATCAGAAGAAGCAAATATAGCCAGAAGTTCTGATGACGAATCTGTGCTATTGATGGCCTCTGAATCTGATGATCTGACAGACTGGTGGTATATGGACACTGGCTGTTCAAATCATCTTACTGGAAACAAGAAATGGCTGGTTGACTTTGACTCTGAAAAGAGAACAAAGATCAGATGTGCTGATGACAAATATCTTAATGCAGAAGGTATGGGAAATGTCAGAGTGATTCTGAACAATGGGAAAACAGCATTGATTCAGAACGTGTGGTATGTACCTGGCATCAGAAGCAATTTGATGAGTGTGGGACAATTAATTGAGAAAGGCTTTTCAGTTACCATGAAGGACAATCTTCTGAAGTTGTATGACTGCAATCAGAAGTTGATTATGGAGTCAGAACAGGGAAGGAATAGAACATTCAAGGTGAATGTCAGAACTGCAGACTCAGAATGTCTTAGTGTAACATGTGCTGAGAAGGAGAGTGAGTTGTGGCACAGAAGATTTGGTCATTTGAATTTCAGAAGCTTACAACATCTGAATTCAAAGAAATTGGTACATGGAATTCCTGCAATTAAGAAGCCTGAAAAGTCATGCAAAGTTTGCATGGAAGGAAAACAACCAAGATTGCCATTTGCATCAGAAGTTGTTCCAAGAGCAAAACATGCCTTGGGAGTTGTACATTCTGATGTGTGTGGTCCATTTCCAGTAGCATCAATTGGAGGGAATAAATACTTTGTGTTATTTGTTGATGAATTCACATGAATGACATGGGTATCCCTTATTAAATTCAAACATGAGGTGTTTGATGAATTCAAGAAGTTCAGAATGAAGGCTGAGAATTAGAGTGGTCAAAAGTTGAAGATTCTTAGAACTGATGGTGAAGGTGAGTATAACTCCAAAGAGTTCCAGAAGTTCTGTGAGGAGAATGGAATTGAGCATGAGGTTATTGCTCCTTATACCCCTCAACACAATGGTCTTGCTGAAAGAAGAAACCGTACTTTGCTTGATATGGTGAGAAGCATGCTAAAGGAGAAGAAGCTTCCTCAGAAGCTCTGGGGAGAAGCTGTTGCCACTGCAACGTATGTACTCAACAGATGTCCTACGAAGAAGTTGAAGGAAATAGTTCCTATGCAGAAGTGGACTGGAGACAAGTAAAGTGTTAGTCATCTGAAGGTGTTTGGTTCTGTTTGCTATAAACATGTTCCAGAAGCCAGAAGACAGAAGCTGGATGATAGAAGCAAAGTGATGATTCTGATAGGGTACCACAGTACAGGTGCATACAAGCTCTATTGTCCAGAAACCAATAAAATTGAATTCAGCAGAGATGTGATTGTGAAGGAATCAGAAGTTTGGAATTGGGATAAGTCTCAATCTGATTCTGATGT